TATAGGGGATTTTTCATTTGTAAAAATATTCTTAAAAACTTATCGTGTTACCATGACAACTACTTAAAATACTTCACGTTCGGAAAATAAAAAGGTTTTGTCTGCAAGGCGAGGGTTTCTGCATGCATGTATTTTCTAGTATATGTAAATATATAGCGTACCAATTTTGTAAACGCACCATAATTCAATCTATTGCGAAGGTGTGTATCTTAAACCATTAATAATAATAATAATAATAACTTGGCAGACTTAATAATCTAACAATTATTCTTATCTCATTTATAAATATTTTCCGTTCAAAATTGGCTCATTGAATTCAAAAGGATTAAAGGAAGAATATGTCAATGAGCTATATGCATATTGCAGATAAGTCGAGCTCCATGCGGTTGCAGTTGTGAAATGCTTACACAAATCATATATTTTAGTGTTTTGTAATCAATCCCCTGAGATTTATAAAGATATCGCGGAAATAATTATGTCAAGTGCGCACCGGAGAATATAGATTCCTTACTACTTACTGCTAGTAACCTTGACCAATTGTTGAAGGATAACCAAACCACTTTCAAATTTTTTATTTTCAAAATCAATCACCTTTTTTCTAATTTCTGTTACTTATTTTACAATTATTAAAAAGGTTATCGTTTGGACTCTACGAAGACGATCAAATATGTTCATGCAGAGTCTGGATGGGATTGCATCTTACAATGTATGCTTCAAGATGAATCATGCAGATCTATTAACTTCGGAAAAACTCGTGCAGGACAAGAAAATTGTGAGTTACTCAAAACTGTTGATTTAGAAGAACCGGCAGGGAGTTTGAAGAAAAATGAAAGTTTTGATTATTACAAACTACTTCAACCCGAAAGGGTAAGTATTAACAGTCATAATATGCGATTTATATACAGATTATATATATCGAAATTAAACAGCCTTTAAAATAAAATTAATTCAATTTATATTTATTTTTGTTTGAGTTGTCCAACTATGTATTTGTTTGTATTTTGTTTACAAGATCAATTTAGAAATTTTGACTTCCCACGGGGCATCGGGACTTGTGGAGGAAGCTGCGGCGGTGTTTTACAGAGAGGGTGGATATTATAAGCATTTGAGCAGCTATATATAGTAAAGTATTGCTTAGAATTATATTTTTTTTCTAGAAACCTGAAGATGTTGTTTCATCAAGTACCTCTTCTCAGATAGAAAAAATATCAACAGGTGTTAGTTATAAGAACGTAATTAAGAAGCGTACATTATACCTTGTTACTAACCGTTCAACGACGAATAAACAACATCCGACTCGATACAATCAAAAATTAAATTGTGACTTTGTTTAAATGTTTTCTCATTTGAACCTGAACAACGCATGCGTCAGTTTTTAAGGAGCTTATGCATGTGGACTAATATGATGTGTGTTAATTTAATTTCTAAACAATACGACTACTGAACCAGACGGTTCAACAACTCAGGCGACAAGTATTTTCACATTAATTCAAACACTCATTAATAATTCATAAGCTTATTGGAAAATCATGTCAACTATAATATGTCACGTGCAATGGTTTTAAACCTGATAAAACACTCCTAGTTATAGTATTCTTTATATAAAGAATACTAATAAGGCGCGCAGTATCTATTGTTGTCGTGTTCTCATTAGTATTCTTTATATAAAGAATACTAATAAGGCGGTATATCTATTGAATTTGTATAGTCGTGTTTGAAGCCGTTTAATAAACTCGGAGGTCGTGTTTTATTAGGTCTAAAGCCATTCGCGCTGCGCGCTCGTGGCTTTAAACCTAATAAAACACTCCTGCTCGTTTATTAAACAGTACGTAAATTTTCAAAATATATAATTATAGCCAAAATCTTCACCGAAAAAGACAGATGATTCCACAACTCGACCAACAAGTAGTTTCACAATTTTAAAATTCCATTAAAGGCACAGTTCAGCCTTTTGAATGATGGTTTTTAAGGTGTATTTCAGTCCTTTTAATTGAAGAGACTAACTAGGAAAATTTTTTATACATAATTTAAGATCAGCGAACTCAATTTTTTAGCAACAAAAATGTTTTAAGATGTTAGAACACTAAGTTTGCTGATCTTGAAGTATATGTTTAATGGATTTTCCTAGTTAGTTTTTTCAATTAAAATGGCTAAAATGCGCCGTAAAAACCATCATTTAAAAGGCTGAACTGTGCCTTTAAAGTTATGTTCGCTTCCAAATGCTTTCTTTCATTTTATTCCAGAATATTTACTTTTAATAAACAAACAGTTCCACAACTCGACCAACTAAAATTACGTTCGCTTCCATGTCCTTCCGTATTACATTTTGTTTTTAAATTAAAATACGTTATCTCTCAATATGTTTTTTTGTACTTATAGCACAATCTACCCCGAAAAAAACAAGTGGTCCGACAACTCAACCTACAAGTAAGTTAACGGATTATTCTTTTTGAGATTAAATTTTACGTTTATGCTTTCAAATCATTTCTTTGTAATTATAGCACGGTCAACCTCGAAGACTGAGACAGATGTTTACACAACTCCACCTGGAAGTAAGTTTAGAATTTTAAATTCCACTAAAGTTCAATTTCATATTCTCTCATGTTTTCGAGAACATTAAATTTTACAGGTTTAGAAAATTTCTTTATAGTTATAGCAACATTTACACCGAAAGGGACTGGTAGTTTGACATATCAACCAACAAGTATAAGCTTACAATGTTTCACTATTTTAAACACGCAAGTTTAAAGATATAACTGCTTATAAAATATGTACTTCTCATAAATAATTTATAAAAATGGAATTATTTAATATGCGTACATTTAATAGAAGAGAATGTATCAAGATATTCGGGCCGGTAGCAGAGTGTATATAGCATCTTTAGAGTAGGGAATCTCGTTTTGTATGACATAGGCTACATGTCTGTTTGAATGAGTAAAGCCAGCACAAATTTGGTTGCTTTGAGATTGTAATGGTGTGAATACAACCAATTTGTTCCGTCCTCATGTCACTGTTTTTACACGGTTCCATTCTTCTTTGGTGGCTGTGTTTAATTTAGGACATCACGCATGTAAAAGTCATATATGATAGTCGATTCCTCAAAGGGAATTAATCATGAAAATAGCAGAGGTCACGACTGGAAAACTTATGAAACTGAGGTTTATAAATGTTAGTAGGCCCTTGTAAACATTCTTAAAAAATCCAGATAGGCATTTTGATAAAATACATGTCTCCTGCCTAGGATAAGTTTAATTGTGTGATTTCGACGTGGAATTAGTCTTAGTATAATTTCTAAACGGTTGCAATGTGGGGGATATTGGCTATGTCGGTTTTACCATGGCGTCTGCACTTGAAGTAAATTCAAAATTTCCCAGCTAGAAAGAGTGCAGAGATTTGATTTGCACAAGAAAGTTGGCATTTTGTGCAATTGTTTCATGTGCAGTACAGCGCAATCATTTGTTAGGAACCATGCTCGATTTACTTGCCCCATTTGTGTAAAAATGAATAGGGAAGGTTCCCATTTGTGTAAAAATGAATAGGGAATTCTAGACGCACCAAGTCGTGAGGTGTTTAAATCAGTTTTGCTCTTAAGAAAATACTTTTTCCTATGCAATTAGTGAAAAATACAGCTTGCCAAAACTGAGCGCTGACGCAAAGATCCATCTTTGCGTCAGCGCTCAGTTTTGGCAAGCTGTATTTTTCACTAATTGCATAGGAAAAAGTATTTTCTTAAGAGCAAAACTGATTTAAACACCTCACGACTTGGTGCGTCTAGAATTTGACAGACTTGATAATCTCATATTTTCATCGGCCTATAATATTATAATTATTTAAATATTGTGGCTTCATAATAGGCTCATTGCAATTGAATTTCAAAAAAGAAAAAAGAGCCATAGTTAGTAAGAATCATACAGTCGTACAGTACGTACCTTCTTGTAGTGGCACATTGTTACAACAAAGCTTAAGAGACCAAATTAAAGCCGCAGATTTTTTTATTAAGCATACCAAGCATGTGATTGGCTTTAGTGACTTGCTCGCACGTATCTGTGTTCTACTTGAGATCAGAACAAAGTGTCACATCCAGGCTTTTCAGAGTGTAAACACTAGATCTTTCAACGCGATGTTGTATATTCCAAAATCTGAGAAAAATATATGTAGCTAACTCGTTTCCAATTTACCGGAGCCGCTTATTTTTAAACAGTCCGGCGACAATTCTAGTGCAATCAACTCCCGTGACCCATCCAGGAAAAGATGGCAGTAACAGGGATATTTTTATTTATTGCCAGTATCCGGGGAAGTGGGGCGGCTGACATGTGTCGCCAGCGACAATCTAGTGTAATTTTAGCTCCTGTGCTAAAGTGACAAAAAACACAGATTGGGTTGTGTTGCGTATGTATGCTAATCATAAATTACTTTCTGGCCAGGATCCTACTGCCCCTATGTCCTAGTGACAACGAGTTACTGGCCAGGATCCTACTGCCCCTATATCCTTCAACGAGTACGAGAATTTTGGAAGGAGTGTCTCCCCCGAGCGACATGAGCTCCGCTTCCGAAATTCCCGCGTCTGCATGTTATCATTCTGTTTAATTATTAAAGCCATTTCACTCGAATATTGCGAAGGCGAATTGGTCTTTAAAGTGTACAGAGTTTTATTAAATATTTGTAACGTAATTTTTCCTTTAACTCGAGTCTTTTTTGCAATTTAGTACAAGCATCTAAAGAATTTCTTATCTACAATAAAGCTCACGACAAATGCATCTCAATTGAAAATGAAGGCATCACCGCAAGACCATGCAACCGGATGACAGATAATCAAAAGTGGCGGTGGACACAATATGAGCAACTTCAAAATATTCTCAATCAAACATGTCTTACCGCATCTAAAACAGCAGTAAACTGGGATCATCTGAAATTGTCCATGTGTGATCGCCATGACACATATCAAGTGTGGACTTGCGAAGACGACTTCGTCAGGTTGAATGGCACAATACTAAACTTGAATTACGGAAATGTCCAAGGAGGAGACAATGTTGTGCTGTACAAAGGGAATGGGAGCTGGAGTATGTGGAAGGTCCATGGAGAAGACGTGCGTGTGTGTGAAAAACGACCGGGAGGTATATTGAAGATAAATAGAGAATATGTGTCGCACGCTCTCATCATTGCAATTAAGGCCTCGTTTACCCTGTACCCGATTCGCTGGTCACGTCACCAGTTTTAACAGTGAATGAAATAGCCTAATCGTTTATAATGGTAGTAACAAGCAGAAACGTACGGTCGACCTTATCGAAAGAGTAAACCATTGTTTGTTAAACGTTGCTCCTGGGCAGCAAACGAGGATGTCGTGAGCAGCGAATCCGGTACAGTATACACGGGGTGTCCGTTCCTGGTCTGGATCCTGCACGGATCAATGTATTTGACTTCGTTATAGTTTTGTCGCAGTCATATGTTGAACGAATGTTTGACTCTGCCAAAAACTGCAGCATTTCTCCGGATAATCCAGTTTTCACTTCTCTTACTAGCCTTGACCAATCAAAATTCACCCTCGCGCTAGAACTAGATGAGAACAGAGTAGATCTGATAACCATGGGATGAAAAATTAGATGCGCACTTAATTGGTAATAGTTGCAAATTTGCTGCAAATTTACTAGATTAAATTCGCAACCACTGCGATTAAATCTATCTAATTAAACTGCCAAATTTATTGCAATATTTTCACTAACACTGTGCGAAAAATTTAGTTTGCGCTTTCGAAAGTTTACAACCAATCCGATAACAAACTTCTAATTTGTATGGGTTTGCAGATTTTCACGCGTGTAAACTTATAGTAGATATAGTGAAATTCCTTCGCCAAGATGATGACCGACTCGAAACCGTACAGCGCAGACCTAAATTTTCAGGGATGGCGAAAGAGGGCGGGAGCTTGTTTCACGGGGATTAAACCATTCCCCCTCCCGAAGTGGAGGTGGGGGTTAATCCCTGTAAAACAATCCCGATCAGGGTAAGACCGCAATATGAAGATTCTTGATTGCCGCCTAAAAGGCACAGTGAACAAAATTGCCAATATTGTGGTGAATGAAATGTTCCTTAATTAAAGAATTTAAACTGCGAAGCTTCAACATCCGGGGTTGGAGGGTTAAGCCACCTGTGAAAATAAGTCCAGTCGTGCATGTCTTGTTTAAAATGCGTGACATTTTTCCATCGTCAGGCAGTTCAACTATGCTAATTCGCTGAAAATTTGAGCGACAGAGCCCCAGTTAGTTACCAAAACTGACCAAAACCTGGATTATGAAGCAATTCCTGGCTACATTTTTAATTTGCTGTTATTATTATTATTAGTTTTATTTACCCACAAATAATATTTACAAGTTGAATATTTAAGAATATATAAACGGGCTAGAGACCTCTGGAAATCCTGTTGGACTTTTAAGACGAGGCCCCTATAGTTTTAGTGTTCAGTAATATAAAAATAGATTATATACATAAGGACAATTTGCAATGAAAAACACAAAGTATTTACAAACAAATATGGAAAATGTTTAAGGAATATTTAGTACGTACATTACAGAATACTGTCATTAATATTCCTGAAATATTTACATCAACTAGACATCAAGTAATAAGATTTTGCAGTTTTCTTAAAAGAAAAATATGATTTAATATTTTTAATTTCTTCATCAAGGCAATTCCATATAGAAACTCCTTTGTTAAATACAGTGTATTTGCGATAGTTTGTTCTCTTATAGCTCACATGTAACTTGGTAGAATTTCGAGTATTATAGTTGTATAGTTCGTTATTTTGTTTGAAGTAATCATTATAAAAGTTCGGCAAATTTTGACAATAATTGAAGCAATACATGAATAAACTGCATAGATAATCATTAATTTTGTAGATATCAAAGATTTTCAATTGTAAAAATATTGGTTCAGAATGATCCATATAAGATTTAAAACAGATTAGTCGTACAATTTTCTTTTTTGCACATTTAGTAATTTTGTAACCTTGTTGGGTATGTACTTCCCCAAACTAGATTTCCGTACGTGAGGTAGGGATAGACCAATGCATAATAAATCAATTTCGAAGTGTTTTTGTTCGTAAAATGTCTTAGTTTAGCAATCAGACCCGCAGATTTAATTATATTTTTCAAAACGGAGTTGATGTTGTTCTTCCATGTCAACTCTTGATCCATTAATACACCTAGGAATTTTGCCCAAGGTACTTGTTCAACCATATCATTATTCATTTTTACTATGATTTCTTGATGCTGTGACTTATTTTTTGATTTAAAAATGACAAATTTTGTTTTCGATGCATTGATTGATAATTTATTGGCGTTAAGCCATTGCACAACTTCATTCATTTCATTTTGTATAGTACTAGCTAAAGTTTTTAGGCACGTTTTTTAATGAAAGGCATTTGTATCATCGGCATATAAGACAAAAGAAAGAATTTTACTGCAGTTTTCAATGTCATTAATATATATTAGAAATAGTAGTGGTCGAAGAATTGAACCCTGTGGGACGCCAGTCCTAACACTCATTTCAGTTGACCTATGTTGTTTATATTTGACCATTTGAGTTCTTTCCTGTAAATAATTTATAAACCATTGTAGACCTATTCCTCTAATTCCATAGTGTTGAAGTTTTTTTATGAGAATTTCATGATTGACAGTGTCGAAGGCTTTAGAGAGATCAAGGAAAGTACCTACAGTATATTCACCTTCATCTATTGCTTTGGATATCTTATCGGTTAGTTCAAGAATGGCATGCTCAGTTGATCTATTTTTCCTAAAACCAAATTGATGTTCTGAAAGTATACGATGTTTTTCAACATAGTTAATTAATCGCTTGTGCATATTAAGTTTTTCAAGTAGTTTTGAAACACAAGTTAATACCGATATAGGTCGATAGTTTTCAAATAGATTATTTTCCTTAGCTTTGAAAATAGGAGTAACTAAAGCTATTTTCAAAAAAATTGGTATTTTTCCAGTTTCAAATGATAGATTATAAATATATGTTAGCGGTTTAATTATTTCTTCACTGATGATCTTTATCATTTCGCGCTTATGTCATCATGACCTGCACTTTTAGTTTCCCTTAAGTTATTAATCTCAATTTGCAGCTCATATTCAGTCACAGGTTCTATAAACATACTTTCAACATAGTTGCCATTAAGGTAGCTTTCATACGTTATGTTATCATTTTTGGGAATTTTTTTGGCTAGTTGTGGACTAATTTTCACAAAATATTCGTTAAATTTGTTAGCAATTTCCTGAGGATTTGAAACATTATTATTTGAATTCTTCTGTAAAAAAGTATCGGGTAGTTTTGATCTAGTTTTATTTCTGTTAAGAACTTCGTTAATAGTTTGCCATGTCTTTTTAATATCATTTTTATACTTAAGAAATTGTGTTTCATAATAGGCCTTTTTTGCGGTTTTTATTACGTGATTCAGTTTGTTTTTGTATTTTTTATAGGCTGTCTCATTTCTATAAGATGACTTTTTTAGAAAATTTTTATAGAGTTTATTTTTCTTGGATATAGATTTAAATATACCAATTGTCATCCAGGGACTTTTTGTGTGATCCACAGTTTTCTTTTTTATTTTTGCTAAAGGAAAACATTTATCAATTGCTACCTTCAAATTATTGTGAAAATTCGTATAGGATTCACAAGGGTCATTGGTTTCGAAAGTACTTTCCCACGATATATTTTTCACAGATAATAAAAACGAAGCAAGATTATCTTTGTCGACCATTCTTCTATGTTCATTTCCTCTTTTTGTATTATTTTTATTTGTGGATGAAGAAGCTATGTTCTTTTCCTCTTTTTGTATTATTTTTATTTGTGGATGAAGAAGCTATGTTCATGTGGATGAAGAAGTTATGTTCTTCCATGGCAAGCAAATGAGTTGTTGTTCTTGGAAAGAGTAGCTACAGAGGCTATTTCAGTGGAAATACAACTGGCTAAAATCAAGGGTGATGTGCAAGAGAAGTTTGACCTTTTGAAAAGAAGAGTGCCTATGGATGTCGCCTCTCGATGCGAAAGCAGTCGCTCCACAAGACAAAAAAAGAGAACAAAAGAAAGCTTGGAAAAAGAAAGAAAAAGAGGGAATTATCAAGTAGTGTCAAGGTCTTGGATGTTATCCTGCTTGATCATATAGAGAAAGAGGATATTGTGAAGCAAGTAGAAAAGTCAGACTTCAGTTTCACTATAGATAAACAAGATATCAACATGGATAGTTTGGAATACTTAAAACCAAAACTTCACCAGCATGGAATAAATTTGTTACTCACACAAGGTGTTTTTTCCAATCATGCACTTCAATTAATACAGAAAGTGCTAAACAATCATGATGAAAATAAAAAAGGCAAACGATTTATCAAAAAGAAAAATTACGACAGATAAGTCACAAATGTCACTTTTTACGGCTCTTGAGAATGCTAAGAAATTGAGTGAACAAAACATCTCAGATTCTGAATCTGACCACGCTTGGCATAAAATGTTGCAAAATCGGCCAAACTGCCAATCATGAAGTTCAGCGGTCTTGCCCAAGATGGCGGCGATTAGGAGTGAATTGCAAAATCTGTTAGGGAAAATTTTTCATCTTGTGAACTAGAAAACTGTTGTGGATTATTGTGGAAACAATCGATGGGGACTGGTCAATGTGCGAAACAAACCTTCAATGTGAAAATCACGTTCAAATTAACAGATTGGCAAAGGCAAACTGATCAATTTCTTTCTGTTGACATTTTAAAATACTTCTTGTATAAGATTTAATTAAGTGATATTGAATGGATTTTGCTCAGGCGACATAAAATAAAAATCCTTGGCCTAGTAGGGACGATAACAGCTAAAACGAAAGTTTACATAAACCTACCGCTCAGTCAGGAGGCTTGTCTAATCTCTTAATTTACAAACTATTTCGCAGTCTACTAGTGTTGCCTTAATCAATATACAAGGATGGATAATTTGTAAGCAACTATATTGAATTTCTGAAAGCTTTCACACATTGAAAGGAATTACAGTATCATGTCTGTGCTAACAGTTGAAACAGTTATAAATATTTTTGAATTATGTACTGTACATGTTAATAAAGATAACTTGAAGTATTCTATATTCACTAGCATGTCATATTTCTAACTTTCCGGTCTTTATTTAGGATACAGTATCTCACACACACTACCAGTAATATGGCTGACATACTAAGGAGTAAGGTGATAAATTACTCTTTTGCTACATGCAGTCAAAAGTGTTTTTAGTGACTGTATGTAACCCATTATGACTGCCTGTGTATCAGTATGTGACAGGCATTTTACTGGTATGTGTATATTATTTGAACTTCCTGCATTGGCAAAGTACTTTGATTTGTAATGGGTTAAGCACCCCACAACCAGGGTGCTTAACCCATTAAGTGGCAGAGCTTCCCCATTGACCAGTAAAATTGTCTGGTGTTAGACAAGTAAAAAAAATAGATGGGGCGCATTGCGGTTCAATGGGTTAACATATAAAAGAACACACAGAGAAGAAAACCCATATGAATGTGTTGTTTGCATTTGCAGGAAATGTTCACATGTGATCAATTCAAAAAGACGAAAATAATACACACTGGATAAAAAAGTTTATGAATTTGTTATTCCATAGTCAAATGTTTAGTACACTACTGAACATAAAGAACAATACTGGGAACAATATTTGCCAATAGTCCTGGTAAAAATATTTATTAGACGAGACAATTTAATTGAGAGCACTATTTGCAATCAAATAATAATACATTTTCAGTCATTTTGTATTACAAACGGGAAATTGATGCCCCAACACCCGATTGGGCTGTCAATTTCCTGTGCGTAATACAAAATGACCGAAAAACGGCAAACTTCGCATGGCTGTATTATCCACATTTTACAACATTTCACAACGAAACTTTGGAATATTACTAATTTTTGTGATGCTCTTTCAAGATGTGATGAAATTTTTGTCTAGATAAAAATTTAGTCTATAATGCAAATGGTCCATTACTGACAGGGTTAATATTACAGTCAAAGTCAAACTTAATACACATCTATTTCAGTATAGTAGGCAGGAATAATCCAAACTCAGTGACACATTATTTCACAATATTCTGCCATTAGTAAATAAACTTTGCCTTGCAAGACCTAGAAGAAAATGGTAAAGGTTTAGACATTAAAAATCTTGCATCACTATAACTGATAAACCCAATATTCTTACAGTACGGTAACTCTCTTTAAGGGTAAATTTAAAAATCTGACTGATATAAGACCGAAATAACAAAGTAGTCCCAATTACTACAGGTATAGCCTGTAAACACGACTGTCTTTGGGGCACATCACATATCTACTCAGTATCGCATATACAAAACAAGCAAATGACTGATGGTGACACTGGGAAACACTGCGGCTTACTGAGTTAACACAAAAGGTGGACCAACAATCCATGGATGTATTGTGGCTGTATCCTTGGTATATAAAAACATAAGGCTCACATGGGTGGTTCTCCTTGCTACTTTCAGAACTTAAATCATTAAGCGCCAGCCCTCTCCCCTTGACAAGTAAAATTGTCTGCCGTTAGACAGAGTAAAATAATAAAGTAGGGCGCATCAGGGCGCAGTGCGACTCAATGGGTTAACTAGACACATAGACATATAAGCCTGTCAACCATTAAGCGCCAGCCCTCTCTGTTGACAAGATAATTTGTCTGCCGTTAGATAGAGACTGACAGAGTAAAATAATAACATAGGATGCATCAGGGTGCAATGTGACTCAATGCACTAACTACAGTAGACACAAAGACATATAGGGTAGTTAATCATTAAGCCGTTTAAGCACCAGTGATCTCCCCTTGACAAGTAAAATCGTCTGCCATTAGACAGAGTAAAATAATAAAGTAGGGCGCATCAAGGCGCAGTGCGACTCAATAGGTTAACTAGACACATAGACATATAAGCTAGTTAACTATTAAGCGCCAGCGCTCTCCGTTGACAATTTAACTTGCCTGCTGGTAGATAGAGACTGGCAGAGTAAAATAATAACATAGGGTGCAATGTGACTCAATGCACTAACTAGACATATAGGCTACAATCAGTGACAAAAGGTTTTTGGACAGTGATATGATATAGACATATCTGCTCCTTTCCAAATACGTGTTCAGCATAAAACCACTATCCCTCCCTCCCCCACCCTAAACAATGTTGGGTGGCAGGCAAGGAACATTTTGCGACGGTATTTCCACACACAACATTGAACGGGGGGTGCGGGGCTCGATTATGTTGTAAATGTGCGCTCTTTTGCTATTTTGTCCAAAGTGTTTTGTCACTGATTGTCAGAAACGTTATTCTAAGCCATATTAAAATTTTAGTTATTGAAGCTAGAATTACTTGTATTTTATAGTATTACCAATGGTGTTTACAAATATTATATCTGCCGTGTTTTGGGGAGCGTATACGTGGATAATTTACGCATACATTGTATGTCATTATTCTAGTTTAATCATAATGCGTTTATGCACATTTCCAGAACTACTCAAACATTGGGAACTTCGTAGTTTGGAACTGCAAACGAAACTAGTGGAGCAATCTGGAATTTAGGGCTAGTAAACACGTTTGGAAGCAAATTCAATGATCTTTAAGTGCTTATTACATAACTTTTGTGGAGAATATAACGTCATCGTCAACATCCGGATTAATCTCAAAGCTGTAGTATTATAAAGCGCGCAGTATGCATGCTATAAATAAGAGGTAGTTATATAGAAAGCAAGTAATAATGGCTTATAAAACAACTATTTCAGATACAACACGAGCATATGTGCTATTTCCAGGCAAAGAGGAACGATATTCCTGCTGAGCGATTGCTAAAAAAGCAAAAATATCTAAAGCGTTAGAATGCGTGTACTATTCCGCCATTCGTTTTCCAGTGAAAATGACAAAAGAAATTTGGACGATCAAATCCAAATTCCGTTTTTCGTTTTTTGAATTCTAATTTTATGATAACGGAAATAAAAAATAGGAATCTGAATTTTGTTTTCCGATGTCAATGCAATCAAAAACTCAATAAATTTAAAATCTGTATTTCTTACATTCCGATGACTCAAAATATGTAACCGGGGGGTGTGCGAACTATATGTAATTTTGGCCACGTGCTCTCACGTTATTATAGTTAAATTCCAGTCTTTCCAGAAACTTTGGACACTGGATATAAAATCATAAAGCCATTACGTATTAAAAATAATAAAGCATTAAAATTGATTTATCATGGAAACTCCCGAGTTTTTGGAAGAGAAAAGAGATGATGTGTTTTTTCTTACACGGCGAGACAATGGGGACAGAATTGAAAGAAAAATACGAAGAAACCAAATTTCTTTAGAGAGGCTTGCAATAATGTTTGATGTAAGTATTGAAATATAAATGATACAATATTTTATCTGGTTTTGCATACGCTTTCAGATTTATAATATTCCATTTAGAATTTATGAAAGAGTTTTAACGTACACTATATAATGAAACTCTATATTTCCATATCAAATAATGAAATAATATATTAACAATAACATTATTTATTGCCAAACCCAAATTATATAAATATAGACAATGACCCGTATTCCTGTACAATCTGCTTAATTGTGTCGATTTAAAAGTACAAGGTCAATTATATTGGCTAGTGAGAAGGAAACCTTCCTATTTGTATTAAATATTCTAGTGAATTTCTAATAGTTTATAGCCTATGTTTAATGTTTTATATAAAACTGATTCCTTTCTGCTCGCCATATGCTGCTCGCCTCCTTGTTGCCTTGGCAACAACCATTTTCGCGCGTTTTTCTATTTTATCCCTATGTATATGTTGATGTTCATTAATGTTCTGACATCACACTACTGAAAAGAACGTTAGAGTTAAAAAGTCTTAAAGAAATCAATCTACAGGGTGTCGGAGTGGAAAAGTGAGGTGACACCTGGAAAAGTGGGGTGACATTCTAAGGGGTCCAGGGCATGCCCCCAGGAAAATTTTGAAACTAGAGTCTCTGACATTCCATCTCCTGCAATAATTGGGGGGGGGGGTGTATTCAAATATTCATGTTCACATATACCATAAAACAAATTGCTTTCAAAATAAATCCATCAGGCAGAACACGAATATATGAATATGCACCCCCCCATATATATATATATAATATATATTATCGGTTTATAGCTACAGTACATCTGTGATCTCCTGCAATTTAGAAGGTTCATAGTGGTTCAACATTTCCTGTTCCCAATCATTGTTCCCTTTTGATGAATTAAGGACACTTGTGACCAATTAGGGACAAATTAAATGTTTTGACAAATCACTTGTAGCTTGAACCATCGACTATTTATTTGGTTGAAGAATTTGGGGATGGGGCATCAGAATGGCCCAACCGTGATGGGAGATTCAACATGGCAATGTTCAAGATGGGAACATATATTCAGGTTGAAGGGCGATCGCGTACATCAAAGTCTTCTTCAAGTCAAGCTGTCAGCCTAAATAGCAGTTTTTGTAATATACAACAAAAGGGCAATACCAGCGCATCATTTTCACCTTTGTTTCGGTAAGTCAATTTACTTGACTATGCAAATTGACAGTCACAATTTTTACTGTTTTATCTCGTCCGTATAAAATTGGCGTTGTTTTGTTGAATGATCGACTACTTTGTTAATTAAACAACTTTGGGTATAATGGTTTTTCTTAATTATTAGGGAGTGGTCGTTATTTACGGGGAGGGGGGTAGTAAATGGAAGGGGGGGATGGCGTTTTACCCTTATAAATAAAGGGGGTCAAAAAGGTTTTAACCTAGCGAGAGGGGGTAAAAAAGTTTTTGAACTTAAATATCATGTCTAGAGTTATGATTTCTACAATCACAAATAGCACAGACTCACAAATCATAATGCCAAAGAAGACTCTGAAAATGCCATTTCCAATGAACTACTTCTGAGACTCAAGATTTCCCCGCTCAGCGCCAACCATGGTTAGTAGTGTTTTGTGGGAGCCCGCGGCCCAGTAAGTTTAACAAGCTTCCTACCCCTTGAGTGACCCAGTTGTGGTATTTACATAAACATACCATGCAAGTACTAACTAATCAGATTCAGTCTATCAAAGCACAATGTAACTCTGTATATCCAAAAATCTGTTTATGAAAATGCTCACATTGCAGTTCTAATGGGGTGGGAAAATACAAAAAAGTTTCTGGGGGAGAATACCCCCAGACCCCCTACTAGTACATACGATACCACACTAAACTTTTTGTCACCAACAACCATCTATCATCTCTCCACACTCAGTGTAGTATGGTTCCTTTTTGTATATGCCCCCCCCCAGACAAGTTCTTAAAAAATCCCTGTGTTCAAATAATTTCACAGGCCATGGGTTATGGTAGGACAAAAGCTGCATTGCAAAGTAGTAACACATAATATATATTTTTTAATCATATATGGTTGAATCATATTCACCAGGGTAAAACATCATGAGCTAGATTAAACAGATTGACGTCCTGACCCCCCGCCAGTGTGGTAAAGTTTCCAATTTTAGGGGGGGGGGGCACAAAAAGTTTGCCTTCAGTCTGGAGGGGGGGTTGAAAAGTTTCCAATCCTTATTTTTCCCGTAATTACCAACTCCCCCCCTCCCAATAAATAATGACCACTCCCTAAAAGGGGGGGGGGGTGAATAGGTTTTCGAATCGTCGGATTCCGCCAAAAAAAATTGTTCGAATTTGGCGAATATTTTACACGGATTTGCGAATCTTATTAATACAGCGGATTGTGGATTACCTAATATTTTGGCTTAGATTGTGGATTTTGCTTGCAATTTAGTTCGGATCCTGGATTGTGACTAAATAGTAGAGCTTTTAGCGGATCCAAAATTTAGACAAGACCATTGTCTGACAGAGGATTTTGTTTCAAGTTTGGTAGGATCGGTGGATTTGTATACCCCTATTCACCCCCTCTCCTAAATATGGCCTACAGTAGTTAATATATAATTTCTATCAGAGGGTTGGTTGGGTGACAGACAGCTAGGTTTACTGCTTAAATGCTATATATGTTACATAATATGTGAATGTTACATAACATGCTTTAATTGCGGTGATGCTAAGACAGAACAATTCTAAAAACTGTTGCCGGCATACAGACACAACATAACTTAATAGAATGTGTCTGCATATACAGTATATGTCCACAGGGAAAATTATTTTTCTTCAATTTGTGCATCAGCCTGTGTGCAGACTCTGTACCTATGCAAAGGATATAATTAATTATGTGTGCGAGTTTGCAATAATATAAATATTAAAATATAATGAAAGATTTATTGAAATCTTAATATTAATGTCTGTATTTAAATTTTAATGACTTTTAGTTCAGTTGTTCCTGGCAAGAAGAAAGTCAGTTATACTCTTAAAGTTACACTAGCAGAAAGAAATGGAAACAAAATTACCAACCCTACAAGACAGACATATATTAGTTTGAGTGAAGAAACAGCTTGTGTTGATTACATCGTTAGTTACTGCAAACAAGAGTTTGATAATGACTCGCTGATTTTGGTCTCAGCAAATTGTTTGCCAGTAGAGGATTCTGAAGTAACCAGAGGTGCAATATATTGGTTAAAAAATATTAGCTCTTAATTAATTGGCTGCTGCAGCGAAAAACCTTCATGTGTGCCTGCCATGCTAAAAACAGGCTGGCAAACATGAAAATAAGGCCTTTGAGGAGAGGTGCAATAAACAAGTATATATTTTAGATAGAATTTGTGTCAGTGGTACATTTTCAATTAGCAGTTCATATGGTAATTAAATATCAATCTTAGAATGGATCCTTTCGCTTAGGAACAGAACAATTTTACTTGTCAATGGGGAAGCTCTGTAGCTTATGGGTTAACCAAAAAATCTGACAATTATAATGTCTTTAGTTAACCCATTGAGCCGCAATGCACCCCAGTGCGCCCTATACTTATTTTTTACTTGTCTAACGCCTGACGATTTTATACTTGTCTAACACCATATGATTTTACTCGTCAATGGGGAAGCTCGCAGCTTAATGGGCTTATATACGTATATATACTGTAATAAGGTGCAGTAAATGTTATTACTTATTTTATCTTATTTTACTAGGTCTGGGTTTCTGGAAAGCGAATTCCAGGAAGATTTATGCAGTTCCGAACATTACAAAAAGAAAGACATTAAAAGGTGAGGCTGCTTCTGCTCTAATGGTTACAGATGAAAGTGATGAGGATGAGAAAGAGAAGAAAAGGCCAAAATTATCACATCTGTCAAAGCAAGGTACTTATATGTGTGGAGTTTTTAATCAACTGTATCAATGTAGAAATTTGATACACTGTATTGATCACTACCGTAAAAAGCCACAATTTGACAACAGTTTTTGTATTTGTACAATATAAAGGCTATTTAGTATTAGTAATAGATTTTTACATAAAATTTTAACATTCTGTATATCATATTGATATAATTATGTCTAATATATCTTGCCACATTAACATTTGTTTAGATCTCATCGATGGTCTTAAGGAAACAATTCCTGGCTTAATGAAAGAGGCTATAGATGAGCCGATGTCCAGTCTAAGAGAAGAATTAAATTCCAAGCAACTGCTGCTGCAAGAATATCAAGCCATACTTGCATGTGTTATTTGCTGTCAAACCACACAACCACCACCTCTTATGATTAGCGATTGTTGTTGTAGTATCTTAGGCTGCAAAGAATGTATTGAGACATGGTACAATGCCAATAGCACATGCCCAAAATGCCGAACAGAACATTCTTTACTGAGTGGGTATTTTGAACTCAAAGGATTTGAAGATGTTTTAAGAAAAGCAGCAAAGTAGGCAAGGGAGAATTGAACACATTCTGTTATTGTTGTGTTTCTGTTGCAACCATTATAGACATTCAGTTATGAAACAACTGTACAGTATGTTTCACACTGGTATTTACATTTAGTTTTGTACAATATGCAGGGCTCAAAATAATGTTCATCAGTGATATGCTGGTCAAGTAGGCCAGTTCCTAAAACATCTTCCTAAAACAATCAAAAGGTAACAGCTAGAACAAGAAGCATGTAAATCATATATGATATTATGCTAGTAACTATGGCGCATTGCCACTTCATCCTTTGCTATAAGATTTTAACACCAAGAAAACCCTTGCAAATACACCATTGCGATACTGTACTTACATCACAAATCCCTCCTTGGCCCAAAAGCCTTATGTGTACATGTATGCTTGTGAATCGTACATGAATAGCCTAAAGTTGTCTTGATTCATTAAAGTGAGGTTTTCAGTCCAAGCGATGAAATTATAAATGTATTGAAATGGTGAATCGACATAATATTTAATAGGTCCACAACATCTTAACATTTAATTTTGTTCCCATGCAGAGCCAATGTCATTAGAACTGCATCACCCAAATTTGAGCATTATTTATGTTGAAAATTTGGCTGTCACTGTGACCATTATTTTCAGCCCTGGAATTCTTTCTTGAGTTTGGCAATTACAATTTTTATTATGTCAATTGATTTCTTGTTATGTTTGCAAACAGTTCAATGGCATTCCGGAATAATAAGTCACTCCCATTGACAAGCTGAGACATTATATCCTGTATGCTAATTTGGTTTAAAAATTGTTGTTCTCGTGATTCTGCACGATCACCATAGTTAGCAAGGGGGTCTGCCCCAAAAGATGGAAACAATGTTAACTGACCACCCAAACCTTCGTAAGACTCACCAGCTTCTGCAGCAGTTGGCACTAATTGAGGGTCAATTTGAACTGCCCTGTTATTGGCAGCATGCACCTCTATAGGTTTTCCAACACCTAGTAATGAAAGACAAAAATTAATAATTTGCAAATATGTTTTGCCAGTATGTTCTGTTGGGTTCGTTTTTGCAGAGAAGATCGAGTTTGCCTAATCAGCTTGGGATCTGGGACTAGTACTGTATAGCTACATAACTAGCAAATCACATGATATAGGTGCACATTTATATATGGTAGTACTCCACTGTACCAGGTATTGGGTGATAGTTCCAGGATCTGACCACATTTTCCAAGCCCAGCGTTGCCAATTTACGGGATACATTAGAGACATAGAATTTCATTTCTTCGCTATCCATGTCAATGGAACCATCTGCTTCCATTGATTGTAGAGCGTTCTTTATGGGATAGTTTACTCGTGCATTCACTTCTACCCACAGTCTTTCAATTCGCAGATTCTGCAATAAAACAATTTCTTATTTGGTACATATACTGCATGTATAGGTATTTTATTAAAGTATTCACATAGACATACTCCTAACTTGTAAATTCATTCTAATTTAGTCTTTAAATTTAGTCCATGACACACAGATATTAGATTATTCTGACAACTTTTCCTTATCCCCATTTTTTGTCCGAGTTACAGTATGTTTCAATTTTTCTGCAGCATGGGAAGGAGCAGGGTAGCTAACCCCTCTGACCCCCACATTGTACACCTGTGACTAATTATTTATAGAAAATACCAAACATACCTTTTTTGATTCTGTTTGACGATGAGGGTCTCTCCTTGGGTTTCCTCTTAAGTGTGCCAAACACTCCTGTCCGTAGAGTGTCAAGTAAAATTCTTTTCCATGATCCACTCGAATTTGATCAAATAATCCCTCCTGAAGGACTGTGTGTCTATATTTGCAATGTAATCACAAATCATGTGTATAAAAATGTGATTCACTTTCAGAAAGTTAAATTACCTGAATTAGGGATTGTTCTCAGGTATAGAAAGTAACTCTGATATAAGCAATTTCTTGTCATTATAGTTCTGTACATATACAGACTACATAATTCTACTACAGTAAAGAGCATCAAATTACCTGAAAATTTGATCATATATAATATAATTATTTTTGATTGGCATGGTTGAATGAGCTGTAATATATCTGGAATACCCATCTATTGCACACACATGGGTCACACCATACATTACTAATTTTTCGTTCTGGTCAATGTGTAGTTTGTGACCAAAATAGTCTGCATGATATGGTATGGGATTTGTTTGTCGCTCTGTCCGATGCACATGTCGCTGGTGATAATCGGGATTGACTCTTTGAAGTGACTTGGCAATGCGATGCTGTGAGGCAATGGTTGTACCAACTTGACTTTCCAAGTATCCTTTCATCATTTTTCTTCCATAAACTGGTCCTACCTAACAGCAGTAGAAATGTCTACTAAAGGCATAAGCAACACAAGATAGGAAGCAAATTATAAATGTAAGTTGGGCAAAAAGATGGGGGCAATAAATTTAAAAGCAAGAAATATTTCAGATAATAGTCGAATATTCAAGAAATATGTACGGTTTCCCTATCCCTAACATATGATTGGATAATTTAATTTATAAATACATATACTGTATAATTTATTTCTGCCCTCCTAATATTTTCCCTCTTGTATGCCTATAGAGGAGAATTAGCAGATACCCTATAGTACTTGCACAGATCAATTTACTGTTTAATAGAATATCACAATATCTAACCTGTGATACTGCTCCCTCAACTAGTGCATCCAAAGTTTCGTCTGAAACTACACCTTTTCTTTTAATATCATTCTCCTTGCAAAAGCGTTCAATACTTCTAGTACTGAAACCGGTTGTATTTGGAAACTGCTCCTTTAAATGTTCCGATAAATCTTTGATTGTGCTGCCCTCACGAGACAAGAAACTCTGAATGTATTCAACACCTATGTTCTCTAATGCCGCCATGTTGTTTTCGTTTTGATAAATATCGCACACCCCCCCGGTTACATATTTTGAGTCATCGGATGTAAAGAAATACAGATTTTAAATTTTGTGTAACTTATTGAGTTTTTGATTGCATTGACATCGGAAAACGAAATTCAGATTCCTATTTTTGATTTCCGTTATCATAAAAATTGGAATTCAAAAAACGAAAAACGGAATTTGGATTTGATCGTCCAAATTTCTTTTGTCATTTTCACTGGAAAACGAATGGCGGAATAGTACACGCATTCGTTAGTCTCTCTTATCTAAGAGGAAAAGTTCAGCGCAAGCAAGATTTGAAAACATGCCAGAAAATTGGTAGACCAAAGACGCTGTCAGATAGAGATCGGAGAAACTTAATAAGAATAATAAAAACTCTTTGTGATAAAGACCCAAATTTTACTGTTAAGCGCTTGGTTGCGCACAGCAGGCTGCTCTCGCGTCATATTTCCTATAGGACATCTTATTGTGAGGTGAAATCAGCTGGATTTGATTATGTACCTGCACGTAAAAAGGGGGTTTTAGCAAGCCGTGATCACACAAAAAGAATGGCGTTTGTCCAACAATGCAAGCAGATTCTTTCCACAAAGCCCGGATTCTTCTGGCGAAATATTGCCTTCTATTCAGACGGGATTTCTTCTGTTTATAAGACACAGCCTCTTAGTGACGCTTTAGCCCCCAGAGCGTGTGTATGGAGACAATTTAAGACTAGAGTCATAAAAACTTTAAATAATATTTATGCAGATTATATAAATAATATTATCACAAGCATGCCTATGCGAATGCACGTTGTATTGGAGGCTGACGGCTTTAGAATATAATACTGAGAAAGTTACTATGACAACGGATCGTATATCGTATTTCCGTATCAACGAATCCCACACTTGTTCGCGTAATAATTGCCATATTTTCTCACATGAAAATGATCGTTGTTGGGAATTTAAATGCACAGTTGCGTGAGTAAGGAATAAATTAATACTTTGGCTTCAAATACGCACACGTTTCGTTATACAAGACAGAGAAAATGGGTTAAAAGTTCACGATTCCCACTTTTCCATTTACTAATTATGATGTCATATTTCAATGTACTGTAAATAGTGGGAATCGTCAACGAAAGTCGGAATTTCAATGAATCAAATTGATTTCGCTCGAAGTTATCTGCATAATCAATTCCTTTGACATAAGTACAATGAGCTAAGAGAGAAAAACAGCAAGAATTGTTGGACTTAATTGCCTTTTCTACATAAAATTTGACTGGGATTCGTGTGGGATTCGTTGACGTGTCATAAGCTAATTAGTTAGTGACGACCAGAATACTTATTTGTTAACACCTTAATGTACGTTAAAGTAAAACACATCATTACAGATCACTGTTCAACGTATAATATTAACTCAGCAAAGCACTGAGCGCAATCCGCAATGTTTCTTTGTTCATCACGCGGAATATGTTTATGGAGTGGAAACATTCGCCATCTTACACTGATTCATCATTTCTGTGTTCACGTGATCAATAGATCCATTGTTAATTAAATCAAGGGGGCGTCACACGTTGCAAGGAATGGCGTGTCTCCCTCGAGAACAATATCTTTGCTCATCTGATTTTTCGGGGCTGGAAAATTAACCGTGTCACCTTCTAAGACCTGCAAAAAGTCGCTCCACGCTATAAGGAATGATTTCCCCAACCCTACATTTTAAGCCATTTATACGTATATGAATTTATACCTATATCACGTTTAACTGAAATTACTTTATCATCGGCCGACCAGCCAAGTAATGGGTAAACACTTGTTCAGGTTCTTGGTAAATTTAAACTTTTCAATCAAGGCTGAACATGTAACAAAAACTTGATATTTATGATACAATATTCTGCAAGCTGCATACAATCAGTGACAAAAGGTTTTTGGACAGTGATATGATATAGACATATCTGCTCCTTTCCAAATACGTGTTCAGCATAAAAACACTATCCCTCCCTCCCCCACCCTAAACAATGTTGGGTTGCAGGCAAGGAACATTTTGCGACGGTATTTCCACACACAACATTGAACGGGGGGTGCGGGGCTCGATTATGTCGTCTTTTTATTTTGTCCAAAGTGTTTTGTCACTGATTGTAGTTAACCAATTAAGCTGCGCCAGCACTCGCCCTTTACAAGTAAAATCGTCTGGCATTAGACAAAGTAAAATAATAAAGTAGGGCCCATCAGGGCGGCGAGGGTGCAATGCGACTCAATGAGTTCATAAATTGCTGAAACTATAAATCAAGTCTGTGCACAAATACAACACCTAGGCCATGCTGCCAGCTGTGCCTGTGGTTTACCTGAATTTGCAAGCAATTATAGGTTTGTTTCAATATTCAAAAGATTTTTCTAACTTCAAAGTTAAAAAAACTTCACATTTATATAGTAACAGAGTTTACATTGTCAGAATTGCATGCTATGTGCTGAAATGTAACACTGAGCCAGTTCCCTCAAAGATTACTTACAAATCCCTCAAAACTTAGAATTCACCTATGGAACATGGCATATTGTCTAGTCAATCTACTTATAATAAATCTGTGTGACAACTGTCAATGTGGAATATAATATACAAGACATTATTGTTCATAATTTTAAACATATTTCGCTTGTTTTAAACCCTCCAAATTCGAAAATTTAGGGTTAATTAAAGGGTTTGTAGCTATAGGTCGCTATATGTATTATAGCCCTTGAGCACTCAAGAATGTATACAATATACAAGTCAACAACACATGCCTGCCTTTTAAAACATATAAATATATTATCCCTTGTTTCGTACAAATAATACAATAAACAAATGCCAAACATACCTTTTCGTCTAATCTCCTCAATTTCTGTTTCTTGGTTGATAATTCCATCTTTCTTTTGACTGCAACCTCAGATGCTAAACGTTGTATTATTATTAGCATTGACATCGAAACGCTGTATTTGGTGGCCTTATTCAAATGCATTTTTACTGCATCAAAGACGAAATTGAATAAAGTGCTTTGGTAGGAATTTAGATAAAGGCCATACACGCGCCATCTGCAAAAATTCGAACATTTATTGTGGCCGAATTTGAAACATTTTATGCCAAGTGTGGACTAGTTATATTTAGATATTAAGCCATTTATACAGTATACCATTGACATTTATGTTACAGTAAATAATTGCGCATGTTTTATGATTATTGTACATTGTTTTTGGTGATCCCCCCTACCTTTCTCTGATATTTTTGGTAGCCCCCCCTAAGTGGTTAATACATTTTGGTGCCCCCCCAAATATCTTCTTCCCCCCCCCCGGCATTAATAATGACTTACAACAAATTTACAAGGGAGGTAAATTCATTGCGTATATTGACTTTGCAAGAAATTACTAATGCCTTTGCAATATGAAATTTCAATGGCAAATTTATATCTAAATTTACAACAAATTTGCCTCATTGCGTATATTTACTTTGCAAGAAATTACCAATGCCTTTGCAATATGAAATTTCAATGGCAAATTTATATCTAAATTTACAAGAAATTTGAAAGCGAGGTAAATTCATTGCATATATTGACTTTGCAAGAAATTACTAATACCTTTGCAATATGAAATTTCAATGGCAAATTTATATCTAAATTTACAACAAATTTGCAAGCGAGGTAAATTTATTGCATATATTGACTTTGCAAGAAATTACCAATGCCTTTGCAATATGAAATTTCAATGGCAAATCTATATGTAAATTTACAACAAATTTGCCCACGCAGAGTAAATTCATTATGTATATTTAGTTATTTATGCTTGCCTACAAATATTAACTCCTTATTGACTTCACTTTGCAGAATAATTCATCTAATGTTGTATAATCGGTGCTAAGCCTAAATTCTGGGTAGACAAGTGTGATTTTCTGATCATGTATGACATTTGATGCCTTTCCACTATTGTCTTGAGTTATTTCACTGCAAGGGTTTGACATTGCTGAGCTGAGGAGTGAGGAACAACTTCCTCTGAGGACGCTTCATTCCGATTGACAATTAATCTTCTTGGACTTGGCAGAAGAAGTCATTATCATTAATGTAATGAGTTGCCACTTCGTGGGTATAAACATTTGAAGTTTATTGCCAATTGTTTGCAAGCTAGTACAGCGTGTATACTTCTCCACTGGGTCATCCCAAACTCGATTTTCTGCAAAATACAAAGAATATTGGAATTGAAAGTCACATACATGACAGTCATGCAACATAAAATTGTTTATTATATAAACACAAGTGTTATATAGAGTTTTTGGCCACTGAGAAAAACATGTCGTATTTAAACACGTCATAAACATATCATGTTCAACACTCAAAATAAATCTGGTATTTCCGCACACCATGTATTATTCTCTATTTAAAATACTCATTAATAATTCATAAACCTTGTGGCAAATCATGTCAGCCATAATATGTCATGTGGAGTGACTTAATTTATATCTGATAAAGCATGTGGCATTATATAAGGCATGTAGTAAAACATGAACTGGACTCGATTAGTAAAAAATGCACCCGATTAGTAAAACACAGACTCGATTAGTAAAACATGGACTCGATTAGTAAAACATGGACTTGATTAGTAAAACATGGACTCAATTAGTAAAACATGGACTCGATTAGTAAAACATGGACTCGATTAGTAAATCATGGACTCGATTAGTAAAACATTCCTAAATGTAGTTCCTTGTCTGTTTTTTGTAAATTGTAATTTTAATAACATAAACTTTAGTGTATAAGAGATCTCATCGATATTTAACGTAAAGTTTCAAGAATATAAAATATATATCTGATAAAACACTCCTACTCGTGTTTTAAATAGTACATAATATTCAAGTAATAACTTGAACATAATTCCTGATCATGGAGTCTCAGCGATGGCCAAAACGGCATATATCACAGTCTTTAATTTAACGGGCTCTAATAGTCGCGATCGGGAGAGCATGTTTAGAATTTACACACAGTTGGCAAGATGACAGGATCTTGTTATTTTATAGCAATTCCACATCATTCTTTATACGTAAGGTATAAAATCTGTTGGGTTTACGTATTGGACAGGATACACTTTATCACTGACAACAGTCACAACCACATCATTTGCTCGATCGATCTAGAAGATTTTTACACTACAGATTGTGTTTTTATAGCGAAGCGTGCTTTCCTTGCCTTGCCAAAAGCCTTGTGTCCACTGAAATCTGATCCAACTTCTCACTTGACCAATGTAACCCAACACTCAATAATACAAAGCACGAAGTTGTATCATAATAAATACGAAACCTTTCAGGATTTCTTGTTGCAAATTTAAATTTTATTGTCCAAAACTATAATATACATAACTACACAAGTTGTTATTTTCCAAACACGCTCCTCTGCCACCCTGCCCTAATGACAATTTTAATGGACCATTCCCCAATTAACCAAAGTTTTGATCTCAACAAGTCTAGGCAAAATTCCATCATAGCATGAAAGAGCGTCACAAATAGAGCTGTGCGCCAGAGTACAGCCGGAGTTGGAAATTACACTGAACTACTTTTGCCTGCTTCCACTTTTAAATATGGAATTTCCTTAAAAACGTTCGGGGCCAGAGCTAAAATAACCGGAGTTTGCAGAGGTCTAATCACAAAATTAGTAATATTCCAAAGTTTTGTTGCGAAATGTTGTAAAATGCGGATAATATAGCCTTGCGAAGTTTTTAATTTTCAGTCATTTTGTATTACGCACAGAAGTGGTAACCATTTCCCGTTTGTAATCTAAAATGACTGAAAATTGCAAACTTCACAACGCTATATTATCCGCATTTTACAACATTTGGCAACGAAACTTTGGAATATCACTAATTTTGTGATGCTCTTTCAAGCTGTGATGAAATTTTTGTCCAGACTTGTTGAGTTCCAAAATTTTGGTTAATTGGGGAATGGTCTATTTGCCACAGGAAATCTGCGTGACCAGCCCCAGCCAGGGTCTTTCCTCAACGAGAGGGAAGAGCCTGGGAATGAGGTTGGGTTAGGCATAGTTCAGGGGGCAGATCATTAATGATGTATGACTACACTAATAGCGGCTGCTTAAAGCGTCATTTGTAAGGTCACAGTCTACCTCTGCTCTAATGTAACCAATCACAGAAAAACCCTGATGAGGGAGTGTGCTGAGTAATATATGTATGTATATGTATGTATGTCTATTTTATACGTCGAATTTTGGTCACGTCGAATATTATATGCTTGGGCAGCGCAGCAATTAATACATGTTGAAAGCTAATAATATTTACCCAATTAATACATGTTGAATGCTAATATATAAAGTATATACAAAGTCAGTGTGGAAAGTCGATGAGAATCATCACTATATTAGCTATTTTGGGTATAGGTTATGCAAGATGTGGATTATCGACTCTATTTGCCAAGACCAGCAAAATGCCTTTGATTACCTTCATCAACTTGGGGAAATGGAAAAGGAAGCTGAGTCAGCAGTGGACGAAGAACTCAACCGATGGATACACAAAAAGGAGGAACTAATTGAAAAGAAAGAGACGTTGCTATGTTCAAAACAAAATATTTGGTCTGATATACATGTTGAAGAAGCTAGGGAAGATATACATGAATTAAAGAGTGCAGTTGAATTTCTTCAGTCACTCAAACTGTAAAAGGAAACACCCAGAAAAAAAAATGATGTTAAAAAGGTGCAGAAAAAACCTGATTAAAGATCAAAGATTGAAGTTACGCAGATTGGGTAGTGGTCGTAAACTAGCAATGGATGAGGAAGATGAAAGGATCCTTGTAGACCAGGCGGCGTTCGCATAACGACCGCAAAGCAGTGTGGGAGAAAATTCAAATTTAGTTCATTTGCATGTAGTCTCGCCTGGGTAAACATCTGTCGTTTAAAAAATTAAATTAAAATATTAAATTAATGGGCATAACTGGGTTATTGCCTTTCTTAAGAGGCTTTCAAAAGCAAGTTAAGCTCTCCGATTTTACTGGCAGAACTGTGGCCATAGACGCTTCTTGCTGGATACACAAGGCTTTAGCTGTGTCCATATCACAAAGTGGAAATCGACAAAGGTGAGATATCTTTCGTGTGCTGTTTTAGAATGTATTATAAAAGTACAGTTCAAATATGTAAATATGACGGGTTTTTTCATTTTAGGTTGGCTGATATTTTTCGTAAGTATTTGTTGATTGTAAAGAGAGCCGCGATGACAATTTACATTGTGTTTGATGGGCTGTTATTGCCAGCGAAAGCAAGTGAAGTCGAACAGAGGCAAAGGTGAGAATATGTGACTTGTTGACTGTTGTTGTATTTAAAACAGAAAAATGTTTATTTGCACCGTGACTGGATTGGCCAATACTTTTGTTAACAGTGACCGAGAGGAGCGTTTACGAAAGGCAGATAATGCAAGCCTATCGTCGAAAGAAGCCAACAAATTCCGCAGCCAAGCTGCTTCCATAACCTTCGATGACATATCTACCTGTATAGATGTAAGTCACATTTAAATATTTTTTACTTAGTCTATTAAAATTGTGGTGTTTTGTTGGTACTAAACACTTATATATGCATTAAGATTGTTATTTGTTAGCGATTTAATTTAAAAATTATTTTGAACACAAATATACAATAGATTTGTTTGGAGGAGAACGTTCGGTACGTGATGTCACCGTACGAGGCAGACGCTCAGATAACGTTCTTGCTAAATAATGGCTACGCAGATATGGTTATTACAGAAGATTCGGACCTTTTAGCTTATGGCTGCAAGGAGGTTTGTACAGTTCATTTCTTTGTGATCTCCCTGGGGCAAACAGTTGTTGATTAGGTATTTAGATTAATACATGAATTTGACATTTCCATCAAAATTTTTTGGTAAAAAATTTTCTTGCCAGGGGCTCATGTATTGCACATATCAATGTAAATCCCAGGGCATGGGATGGGGATTTGCCTTGAACACCTATTACGGCCATGGGAACTGTGAAAATCAATACAAGCCTGGGGTTAAATAGTTGGTAAAAATATACTGTAAGCTGTTGTTAAACCCATTGATTGGCAGCCCTCTCCCCCTGACAAGTAAAATGAATTTGTCTGGTGTTAGATAGAGTAAAATAATAAAGTAGGGTGAATCTAGGTGCATTGCCACTTAACAGGTTAACAGGGTGCATTGGTGGACTTGAATAACTTAGATTCTGCACTTCACTTGGTGGAATTAATATTAGAATGTTAGGGTTTGTAATCCAAGTGAGAATGTATAAATTTTAAGACCTAACCAGGAACGACTGCGAATAATGCAGCACAACCATTAATATTAACATTAACATAACCATTAACATTAGCAGCACTCTCCCCCTGATAAGTAAAGTCATCTGGCATTAGAAAGGTTAGGGTAAAATAACAAACTACCTAGGGTGCATTTGGGTACATTGCCACTTAAATGGTTAGTATATAAATATGTAACCTAATTTGTCTCTGGGTGGGCCTTTATAATACATTGGATTAATGTTTGCCTTTCTACTCATAGGAATTATACCCAAAAGTTTTTTTTTATCAAATCTCCAACCCAGTCCTGATTTAATATAGTAGATATGTGTTAGAGGTGTGCATTGGATCGGATTTGATGTTTATAAAACCGACAATTGGCTAATGTTTAAGATCCAATCCGAAATTGTCTAATCCAATCCGAGTTTTGATAAAGAATTGAAGTATCAAAGAATAATAATGCAGCGACAACCACTTTGTCATGAATAATTAATTCATTTTATTTCCAATCCAACTACAAAACAACTTTACAATCCAATATGAATATTTTTGTTCCAAAATCCGAACAAATCCGGATTTGGATCGGCTTTGCACACCTCTAATGGGTGTACAAACTGCCCTTAAATTTTCTGTTTGCAATAATATTTTGAATATTTTAAAGAACTGTTGTCCAAATGTTTTCAAAGATGTTTAAATGTTGTAAGCAAACTTTTTTATTTAATTAATTTACTTGCTTGTCTAGGTGATAATGAAGCTGTGTTTGAGTGGTGAAGGGCAACATTTGTTATTAGATGACATACTGGATGGGTTAAAACTAAATTTCCAGCAGTTTCAAAACATGTGTATTGTGGCTGGATGTGATTACCTACACAATGTTCGAGGCATTGGTATCCGTGGTGCATACAAAATCATTAGTTCTGGTGATGATATGTTTAGTACACTTGAAAACAAAGGAGCACCCAATAATTACAAGGACCACTTTCATGAAACAAAGGCTGTATTTTCGCATCAAACTGTTTTTGATGTAAACACCCTTAAAACTGTGCCTCTACATATGTGGGAGAGCAACACATCAACAAAAACAAAACACCTTTGTGGAAAGTATCCTTTATACACTTTAGCATGTTATGTTTGCCCATGTGGCTGCAGAATGGGAGTATTAGAGGTTGGTCAAGTTAGGGGGTCAAGTTATCAAACTATGATAACATTGTATGTGTTCACATACAATGTTATCATAGATGCTTTTCTTTTGACTGCAAAAAATTAAGTAAATTTAAATCAGTTTTAGAGACCATTACAGGGTGGCTAAATGATTGCCCAAAAGATAGAAGCAACCTTTCTTAATTGAGTTCTACTTTTGTGGAATTTTATTTAGAGCTTGTTAAGTGTACACCACAACCTTAACTCTTCTAAGATTGTTAGATGACCAATTCTCTAATGATCTGGCTGCCGGGAACATTGATCCCAAAAGTTGCATCAAGATGAAGAGCAATCCTCTTCTTAGAAGGGTAAAGTTTTGTAAATATTGTGTTCCCATATTTACATAATACTCTAATGATTAAAATGCACAATTGTATAGGTCACCTGCAATTCTACACCAAATGACTCTGTTGAGGATATGTCTCCAAAAACAAATGGTAAGATTGTAAAGATTGATTTCTTTAACATTTTGGATCATACAGTGTCCTTTGATTTGAATGTAAATAAAAATCCTACCTATTAGATGGCAAGATCAGCACAACAGGGCTCTTCAACAGGATGAAATAAATTGACTGGCTTTAGGTCCAATTAAAATTAGTACTTAACAAAGTTAATGGGTTACATCGTACAGTTATCTTCACATTGATAACATGTTTTGCTTATACCCATGTAGGACAAGAAGAAATAAAGATACACATAATAAATGTGGAGGAACAACCATTTTCTTATAATATACCATCCTTCCCAGTCATGTCAGTAGATCTATTAAAAGTACAGTACACATGGAACGGAGTGACACACCTTGGTGTTATAAATGCAAAAGAACATTCAGCGTTGAAGGTTGGAAACTATACATGTACGTCCCATTGCAAGATCAATATAGGAGGAGTTGACTATTTAGTGCTTTGGGAATTACACTGTGATATGGCAACTTCATGTTCAGCTCCAATTGACCCTCCTGGATTTAATTCAGTGTTTAATGATGAAGGTGAAACAAATGTGCGAGAAGTTCAGGAGACTCATTGTTTGCCATTCAAAGTTCTTGGCACCTGTTATTCAACTTCAAGACAGAAAGCCCTTGAAATGGCGTTTGATTGTATGAATGAGTACAACAGACCAGTGTTTGTCAAATTGAAAGCAGAACCAACAAATCAACATGACAAAAATGCAATAGCTGTCCACATAATGACAATAGATGATTGGGACAAAGTTGGCTACATTGCAAGTGAGCTAACAAAATATTTACATGAACCATTAAAGGCAAATGCGTTAGATGTCACCGTGAATGAAGTACGTTTCCGCACAACATTCATGTTAGTGGGGTACTACTTGACAATCGATATAACCAAAATGGGGTTGTGGGATGACACAGTAATCAAAGCAAGTTCTAAGGTTAAGTAGTTGAAATTTAAGGTTTTCATTGTTATGCAAAAGGTCAGGGTTCAACCCTAGATACATTGCATCAGGATACAAGGGACTTCTTTTTATTTACAATAAGCAAATTTTACGCCAACGCAACAAATTTACTATATGAAACGCGACATGACACAAAATTTTTTTCAAGAAAGCCATTTCAATGTTTTTCATACCTTGCCTAGTAAAGTAAAATTCCACGAAGTCTCGTTGTAATGAGTAACAGCTGATGAAACATGTTGTATATCATTGTCATTTAATGTTACTTCGGCTGCATAGTTTATCGCATGCCAGGCACGAGGAAAAGCCTGGTTTCCATATGGTCGTAAGATTGAGTCACTATCTTTCTTATCAGCCGAAATACAACATTTTAATAGAACTGAAAATACGTGGAGTGATTATAATTGACTAGAGAATACTTACGATTTATAAATGTGGTTTACAGGTATAAACTGGCCGTTGCAAAAGATCGTGACTCCATTTTTACGACCATCACAATTTTCTTTTGAAATGTCTTTTGTTACGGCAGAGTCTTATGCTTGTGTCGCACACTTAATTGCATTTCTCTGTTTAGTCTATTGTCTTTTCTTAAAATGGTAAAATCTCAGACACAAAATAAGACATTAAAGAACTGTAAATGACTTACGAGATAAGTCAAAAAGGTCATAAGATTCCGCCAATAAAAATTGTCATGTCATGTCAACTTCAAACGAAACTATACTTCTCTCTTTCAATACTGTTTGTAAAATTATTAAAGTTGTTAATACTTTACATGTCTTTCTTTATTCAATTGCTTGTGGCCCGTGGGGGTAATTGCACTGGTGCCTTATGGAACTTAGCCCTGGCTGTAAGTTGTCCTTTTTGTGGGAGAGAAGCTCTGTTAGCTACGAATACTCCTGGATCTCCTCGCCGTGATAGTTTGGTATTGTCGAGCCTCTCTGTTTTACCATGTCCTGATGGCTCGTTAAATGAATGCAGTTCAAATTCCGTGTATCGTTCTTTGACCCCAGTCCAATAGTAAAACTTTAGATCAGGATTTATTCTTTTGTTGAATTCATTCAGAATTTTATTCTGAGCATTATGAAATTGTCGAAGATGAAAGATGTTTCCCAGCATTTCGTGAAGAAGGGCGAACAGGCCTTCGACATCGTCAGTTGCAGATGCCCTGGGGTGCTCGAAAGGAATGTTTCTTGCCATGTATTCCTGTCGACGTAATTCCCTACTGTCTAAATTGGCAATTAGGCCAACAACCACCTCTCTGGTAAAGCCACAAATATTCTTTACTGGCCTAGATTAAAGAGAAAAGTATTCTACTAAACGCACGGAAACGAGGCTAAAGGGTCAAAAAACACAAAACATGACCCTATATCTCCATGTTAAAATAATGCAGATACCGCTGGTCCGTAGCATAGACGTATACAATTACGATAGCAGCTATGCGGAGTAATTTTACAACAAAATATATTAGCAACACTAATATTCATTTTTCGTAAACTTGCGTTCTTATCGGTCGATTTGTAACACGTGACTGCATTTTAATAAACAACAACGCACGGCCGTGCGATAATGGGCTGTGCGATAATGAACGTTTGCTCAAATTGAATATTAAAACTCTTTGTTCGTAATAGTGCACTTGGCTTCGCCTCGTGCAGTACTATTAAATTTCTTGTGCCTTGTTCGTGAACTCGCCCGAGCAAATCCCGATAACACACTCCAAGAGTATTCAAATATCAAGCAGCACAAGTTTAAACACACATATACCTGTTAACATCAATTGTGCTATACCCTGGCATGGATTTAAACCATGGAATCCAGTCTTCTAAGAGCCACTCTTTCATTTGTGTGCAATACAATGATCGTTGCAGCTCAGAAAGTCCCCTACCATCAACAGCTTTGTGCCAGTTGTGGATCAGCCTGATCACTCTTGCACTACTTGTATGGCCCTTACGTTCCAGAAAGGAAATGACAGCTGGACCAATCAGACGTTCACAGTCAGGAACTGACTGCTTGTTCCTGCCTGTAAGGGACTCATAAGTTAATCCTGTCAAGGGGTCATGCAAAGCATCTCTTAGGGATCGTAAGTCAAGACCTGGAATCCGGCCATCACATAGGCATGCCACAATTCTCTTGAGAAGGTGGTTATGATCTTCTCTGTGGTGAAACGATTCACCTGTTGCTGGGTCTTTTTCTGGCTGATAAAGATATGTATCAAAATCAGCAGGGTCATCATCAATGTGCTTCAGATCGTGAATTTTTTTTCGATAGATGTAAATGGACAGAATGGACTTCAAGACCTCTTCAGTTGTTTCAGCTCTTCCTATAACAAAATTTGTTTGCAAATATTTTTGCAACCTTAACATTTTATTCTGCATAATGCCGGGTAATTTTATTCACGTACCAGAAAGTGAAACACTACATTCTTACACTCTTACAGTAGACAAGACTTGTTTTTTTAAATGGTTAACCGATTATGTAATACTGGCATATCAGTTAGGGCTCTTTATCTGAATAAATAAGTTATGGCATTAGACAGAATTAAATGGTAATGTATGCTGTTACCCTTTAGTAATCTTTAATTCTCACCTTCCACCCAAGGATGTGGATCGTGCATGAACGGAAACAACTTTCTTCTCAATATGTAAATAGCTCTTTCAAATGAGGCTGCCTTATCTCCATCCTTCACAAAGCTATCAAGCCACTGCAGGTCTTCTAGAGGAATTGATGGATGGAATTTCAATGGGTTTCCTATTGTGAAATAAAAATTAAATAATAAATCTCAAACTGTATTCAAACTTACAAAGTACATGTTTATCACTAAAAAGCTACATGTAGAATATATGATGTAGGATTTACACCTGGATAGCTTTTCTAGGAATTATTTACCTTCACTATCCAGTTTAAAATATTCCATAATTAGTTTTTTCCCTGTTTGTCGAGCCTCTTGTCTTGCAATTTTAATCAACTCAATCACAGATATGGGTCTTGATTTTCCTTGCGTTCTTAAAGAATTAAATTCTCCATCAGTTGTAAATCCTGCAAGAAAAATAAAATACCAGTAACCAATTTTTCCATTGGTAACCATAAATAAAATAATAAAAATATCTATTAATTAAAAAGCATTTTTATAGAAGGTACTGTAAATGCTACATAAGGGTATTGGAAAGAAATAGGTTACTGAAGTAAAAATTCCAGTTCTAATTCTACAATGTAAAAGGTGAGATATTTAATTTTAATTTTAATTGCTTTTCCGTCATTGTGTGATACTAGACATAAACACATACGCACGCACGCACCCACACAAACAAACACACAGTAAAGTAATCGATGGATGGGTAACCACAATATGAAAAGCCATATACATAGGATGGTAAAATTATAATAGCAAGCACGCCTGCTACATTCTTAACCTATGCTTAACAAAATGTTATGCTTACCAACAACTGTCATTCCGTAATTCTTCATAGCATCTTCAACTTTCATCTCTAGATCCCTTAACGTAGAGTCTGTCAATGATTTATATGGGATGAACTGCACAGGGATGGCATAGGGCTTCTTATTTCTCTGCTCATCAGCGATCATGAATACTAATAAGTAACTAGCTGCCACTCGTTTTTTTGAATATAGATCCTTGAGATATTGCAGAAGGCTAAGTTTCATTTTAAAAACATTGCTTAATCCATCACCATCAAAATCATTCAAAACACCATCTAATTCAACAATCAGGGCCATGGCGTTCTTCACAAGCTCCTGGAATCCTGCAACAGTCCAAGCTAACTCCATCAATTTGTTCTCAGGTGAATGTCCTGCTTCCACAACTTTATCATACACTTTGCTTGCCTCCTCGCTTCCTTTTGTTAGAAACTCTAGGTCCTTCTTTAATTCCATCCTCACCTTCTCAACACTATCTTTACTCTTTTCCAAATTTGCATGCGAACCAATACTCTTAACGATGGCACATCTCGTCTGGTATTCAGAAAACAACATCTGCACACAACCATCTCCCAAATTCACGTCACCTTCCCAACGACCGCGCATACTTTCCTTCAATCCTTTTAGCAAATCACATCCATCAGCTTTGATCCACCACCTCCCATTGGAATAACTGGCATGAATTTGCCTAAGGGCATTAGTCTAAGATTTGAAAGAGGAAAAAGCAATCAAATGGAACTCTCGTCTATTCTTTACATGTTTTGACTTTTAAAGAGGGTGCTGAAACAAACATTTATCGTCACTTAGACATTAGTATATTAACATTCATAAGGAAGAACACATTTTATTGAGGTAACATTTAAGTTTACAAAATACTCACTTGAATATCGACAGTTTTAGAAAAACCTGAAGATAACAAACGTTTCTGGAGTTCACGAGCTCCTAAGCTTGCAATATTCACTTTACTCTAAAAAAATGTATCGAAATATTTATTGTAACCTGTTACTGTTTAACCTCGTACTACAGTAGAACCCGAGGCACTAGAACTACAATATAAAATTCTTCGTTTTGGGGATGTTCAGCGTCGGCTGTGGCATAGATAACTAAAAAATAGATGAAACAGATCACACAGGCCTATAAAGGATAAAAAAACTTCTCGACGCTTCGAGTATTTATGCCCTTCAAGTTCGTAATTCGCCTTGATGAAGGACCTTTGCCCGAAACGCCAATAAGTGTTTTTGTCTATGTGATCTGTTCATCTACATTTTGTACACTATAAAATATTGTTTGCTGTTAAATGGCCATTTATAGTTGAGTGCAGCCCTCAATAAATTCAAGAAGCAACGATTTGCTTGTTTAGCATAATATTGCAAATCATTCAAGGTTTTGAGGCCAGATTTATTCATTTTGATTGTTTTTGTAAATAATCTAGAAGAACAAAAAGGTCATTCGTATTAATTAAAATATTGCTCTGGTTTACGAATTTTGTGATTGTACCTAGTTACATTCATTGTTTTCATTTTTTGAAAGTGGCAGTTGCTATTAGGGCATGGAAAATATATTTAAAAGGTTAAATGGAACATTTTGGTTAAAACCAAATAAGCCATTAAATGTGCAAGACTCTGTTCCTGACAAATAAATTTGTTTGGTATTTGTGGTGTTACTCTGAGTGTATATCCACACCGGGCGAGCTTGAAAAATATGCCCGGCCACGGTCGGATTCGAACCTACGACCTTTGGAATGCTAGCCCAATGCTCTTCCAACTGAGCTACGCGGTCAGGACGGTTCGAGTAAGTGATATTTCGGAACAGAATCTAGTTCCTTCGATACCAATGTATTCTAGTATTATGAATTTTTTTCTGTGTTGGTGTAGTGTACTCAGGTGAATATGATATTTGTGGTGTTACTCTGAGTGTATATCCAGTGTATAACTGTGTATATCCAGTGTATATATCCAGTATATATCCAGTGTATAACTGTGGTTCCATTCTGCTCATTGACAGGCAAGGCAGGTGCCACGCTGGTTGGTTGTAATTCAATTTCCAAATAGCCAGTTTCAACTTCATTATTGTCATAATCAAATAATGTCAAATTGTCCAAACTTGACTCAACATTCTCCAAAGTTCCATCATTAGAAAGGCAAATCAAGTTGGTTAATGATTGCTGGAAATCACTTTGGCTTATGTCATCATCATTCTCATATACTTGCTCTTCTAGCATTGGGCTAGTATTCCAAAGGTTGTAGGTTCGAATCCCACCGTGGCCGGGCATATTTTTCAAGCTCGCCCGGTGTGGATATACACTCAGAGTAACACCACAAATATCATATTCACCTGAGTACACTACACCAACACAGAAAAAAATTCAAATTTGTTTGGTGTTAGACAGAGTAAATTAAACAATGTGGTGTTAGTCTGTTAGACAGAGTAACACAAATGTATGATACATACAGTAGCAGCCTAAGGGGCAAGGGTGCATCACAGCTTAACATCTGGGTGAATATGTTCATCTTTGGTTAAGCAGTGAAAACGCACCATTGCCCCTTAATGGTAAATGACATTTCACACTAGTGAGTTATAAAAAATATCTAATCGCATTAATGTAAATAGACATACCTTCATAGGATCAAATAAACCTGAATTTCTTTTAACTTTCTTTTGTAAACCTGGTTGTATGCCATGATATGTTTCCATTTCTTTTGAACTTATTAGCCCCTTTTCCATTTCACTTTGTTCATCATCAGTCAATTGACTCCACAGGTTTGAAACACTTAGAGTTTGCAAGACTTCGCTACATTCAGATTCTTTAGAATTCTCATTAACTGTGGTTCCATTCTGCTCATTGACAGGCAAGGCAGGTGCCACGCTGGTTGGTTGTAATTCAATTTCCAAATAGCCAGTTTCAACTTCATTATTGTCATAATCAAATAATGAAGTTGAAATTGTCCAAACTTGACTCAACATTCTCCAAAGTTCCATCATTAGAAAGGCAAATCAAGTTTCTACAAGGGATTTGCCTTCGCCAATCTCTAATTTGCTACTCTCTTGGTATTGCCATACTGGCCCTCTGTGCAAGCACAACCACTTGTGCCCGAATTGCGAAAACATTGTCTCGAGCCAGGAAGCATAGTGTTCTTCATAGCCCAGCTTTCTTGTTTGAGAACTTGCAAAAAACCGTATATTATAGTCAAGCATGCCATATGGCGTTCTGTCCAATGGCATTCTGGTGGGAGTTCCTGCGTCTGTTCTTTGAAAACATTGACACAAATTAAAAATCAAGTTGTGCTTTCCTTCATCAAGCAGAGTCTTTGTTGCATTTAAACTTGTATTTATGAAGTCTGGATTTACAAATTTGAACAACTCTATCCCACCAATTTCCATCAACAATAAGTTTGAATAAATAGTTCAAAAGCTGTGTCTTTAGTCTATATGACATTGGGCCTTTAAAGCATGCCAAAAACTCTTTTATTAGGTCACCAACATGACAGGGAACTTTGTTATTATCTGGTGGAATTGTCGGAGATGATGCAAAAACTGGTGACAATGGTTCATCAACAGCAGGGGATGTTTGTGGGGTTTGACAACCATTAATTCTTGCTGTAATATCAACACTGTCATTGCTGCTAGATATATAATCATTTGTAAACACTCCTCTGCTTCTGATAATGAGTTAAACTCTTTTGCAAGATGTTTTATTACCCTTGTTCGACAAGAAGAACCTAATAAGTAACAACAGTTATTAATAAATAGTGAGAATTCTCCACGCTGATTAGTTGCCGTTGAGGTGATTATAATGCGATAATCACCTAAGCAATTTTGGAAATGGTGGCCGAAGCAGTTTTGTCAATTAAATGTCAAAGAAATGTGTATTTTGTTATTTTTTCCCAAATAATCACCTATGAAATTATACCAAAACAATTATTCACCTCAGGTTCGGTGATTATCATGAATAAAAACCTCGAATTAGTCTCGGTTTCTATTCACCGATAATCACCTCGCCTTCAGCGAATAATTGTTAAATAGTAGATAATAAACAGTTACAAAATTGAAAAAGAAATACTAGGGCCTAACTTTAACCAAAAATGGTTGAAAATATTTATCCAATAATAAATATCCACTATTAAATAGTTTAAGCTATCAATTGAATAAGGTGCTTCTTAAACAAGACACATTAAAAGTTTAGGTATCACTGTTGAGTCTGAAACACATAAAATAAATTTGGATATATTTTAATATTAATAAATGCTATAAATATTATGAAATGCTATAAAATTAATAAATGCCATGAAATGCCATAAACAAAGACAAAGACAAACCTGTCCTGTTGGATTGGCAGGCGTTGTTAACTGCATGTGCACAAGAATTCCAAAAACTATTGTCTTTCGTCATTGGCCATTTGTTGTTCCATGCACCTTCCCAAAACAAGCAGATGTACTGCACCAACGCAGATTTTTCCTTTAGGGTCCATTCGGATTTACTGCCCGATGCTTTCTCCGGGTGTTTCGATGTTGGTGGGTTGGTTTCAAATAGACTTCTCCTTGATTTCCCCTGAGACGATCGTTTAGATGTCGGTTTGCCAGGTGTGTTGCCTTGTACAACATAAGGTCTTTTGGTGGCCATATTGGATCAACCTGCCAAAAAGTTATCATGTTTAAAACTTGTAGAAGTGCGCGAAGTAATGGGGAGCGTTGGGGAGCGTTTGTATTTACAACAAGGAAAAATGTCGTAGAACCTATGTAGACTGTATTTGGATTTAAAACTGCCATGAGTAACTCACAAAATGTAACCAAATCTAAGAGTCAATTTACTATGCGAAAACATGTGCACAAAGATATATCAAAATTACTTGTATAGGGTAATTGTGTCAAAATAAAAAGAATCTTCGAGATTTCAAAACACATGTAAGAATTATATCCTGTAAAAAACGTATGAACATACTCATTATTAGTAATAGAAAAACGTGCATGAAAACTCACCTATTTTTCACTCATTAGCCGCCATATTGGAAAACCTTCTCCCACACTGCTTTGCGGTCGTTATGCGAACGCCGCCTATCGAAAGATAGTAATGAGATTACCGGATTATCTCATTCAGAAATGGAAAGGCGCAGTAATAGATATTAGAGAGAAACAAAGATCCCCTACGATTGAAGATATTAGTACCTTTTTGCGAAAACAAGTAAAGGCGGAATTTGATCCCGACTTTGGAGATATGTCTCTAAAACCTCCCAAGTACGACCCGCGAAAGGGCGAAGCAAGAGAAAGACACGGAATTAACGCAGCACAAAGGAACGAGCATTCGAAAGCCTTGAAATGTTATGTGTGTAATGAAGACCACAAAGTGATAGAATGTCCTACCTTGGCTGATTCCACCGTCCCAGAACGTTTCAACCTAGTGAGAGAAGCAAGATTATGCTTTTCTTGCCTGAATAAAGGTCACGTGACGAGAGACTGTAGATCGAAGAAAAAATGCGAGAAAAATGGATGCACAAGACTTCATCATCAACTGTTACACGAAGAGCCTGGAACAATGAGCGGTATATCATCAGTGCTCGACAAGGGAAGCATTCTACCAGTTGTTAGAGTTTGTTTCAGAGCACCAAACGGTCGAACACGCGAAGGAAATGTCCTCATCGACAGCGGCGCAGGTACCACGGTAATTCGAAAGGATTTTGCTCGATCACTTGGTCTGCAAGGCAAACGAGAAAAAATTGATCTAGCCGTTGTTGGAGGAGAAAGAGTTGAACAACCCCAAAGCAGAAGAGTGACCTTCTCAATCTCAGCACTCAACGGAGCAGAAGAGCACAGAATAGAAGCCCACGAGATCGAGAAAACCGTTTTAAGTGTCCCACGTTTGGATCGTCCGTGGTTGAAATCATTTGCACACCTTCGAGACATCGACTTCTCACATAAAGCTGGTCCAATTGATCTTATCTTAGGCGTCCAGTTCAGTCATTTGCACGCAGAAGATGAAGTACGTCAAGGCCGTCAATTTGAGCCTGTTGGGAAAAGAACGAAGCTAGGATGGTTTGTCATCGGTTCTGATAGTTCACAGAAAACGTCCAAAGTATGTTCAATAAGTTTTGTCCAACCCGTCAACCTAGAGAAATTCTACGAGTTTGAAACCCTCGGGATCCAAGCCCCCCAATGTCATTGTCCACAGATAGCTATGTCACCTGACGACAGAAGAGCCATCGAGTTAATGGAGAACTCCTGTAAGCAGCAAGGAGGGAGATATATCATTGGACTTCCTTGGAAGAAA